ACAACAGATGCTTGAGACTTCGTTGATCGGTGTGAAAATGCGAAATTTCCTGCCGATCAGGTATTGGCGCCATTTCTTCACCGACTCGGTAATAGCAAAGAGTTCTCGTACATAGGCAGAGGATGCTTGCATGCGTGGGCATAGTCGTTTGCTGAAGAAAGCGATCGTCGATCTTCCTGGGATAGTACAGCACCTATGGCGATGTTGGATGATGCTCTGTTGTGACTTCAAAGGACTTGGTGAAATCCGGTAGGGTGAGAGTTGTTAGCTTAGCCATGGCATTTTTAGCTGTTCAAAAGAGTGTGCAGCTTCTGGTGTCCATGCAAACGTACTTTTCCGGAGAATATCTGTGAGACCTGCAGCTATGGTTGCATATTGTGGAACAAAGCGCCTGTAGTATCCTGTAAGACCTAAAAAACCACGCAAGTTAGTCAGATTTGTTGGTGTTGGCCATTGCTGAATTGCTGATATCTTGTCTGGCTCCGCTTGCACTCCTCCGGCTGAGATTATATGCCCCAGGTAATTTATTGTTTCCACTGCAAAGGAGCATTTGGACATCTTGGCATGGAACTGGTGTTGTGATAGCTTGTGGAATACTTGTGACAGATGCTGATAATGGAGGTCGATAGATGGGCTGTAAATTAATATGTCATCGAAAACAAGCATATTGCACGTAGGACGTAGGAAATCCCAAAGAGCTCAATTCATAGTTGCTTGGAATGTAGAAGGTGCATTAGAAAGACCAAAGGGCATTACGAGAAATTCGTAATGTCCATCCACCATTCGAAAGGCTGTTTTATGCGTGTCATCTGGGTTTACACGGATTTGGTGGTATCCTGCTCTTAAATCAATTTTTGAGAAGATGGTGGCGCCATGGAGTTCCATCGAGGAGCTCGTCTACTGTGGGAATAGGAAAGCGGTCCCTTAATGGTGATCGCGTTTAAGCCTCTGTAGTAGACACAAATCGCCATGTCCCATCTTTTTTGCGAACCAAGAGGACTGGTGAGGAGTAAGGGCTTGTGCTTGTTTTGATGATACCTTCCTGTAACATTTCGTTGATGAGGGAGGTCATAATTTGTTTCTGGTAGTAGGGGTAGCGGTATGGTTTAATGTTGACTGGGGTAGAGGAGGGTAGAGTGGGAATATGGTGATCTTGATTTCGATGTGGGGGTAGGGAGGTGGGGGCTTCGAAGATGTGTGGTATTAATGGAGAAGGTTTGCAACGGTAGGGTTTTGGTGTGGTGCTTGTGGATTGTTTATGGCTGGGGAATGAGGTTCAAGTGGAAGTAAAGGTAAGGTATTAGGGATGCTATGCTGTTTTTGTGAATAAGGGCTTGTACATTTGTGGGTGAAGCTACACCGGACATGGGCTCACCTTTGAGAGTTATGGTTGTAGGCCCAACATTGAATGTAAGTTGGGGATAGAAAGTCTGCTAAGATGGGGCCCAAAGTGCTGAGCCAAGCGACCCCTAAAATGACGTCTGCTTCTTCAGCCGCTAATACGAAAAGGGAATGGTGAACTTGGTTTCTGGAGGTGTATGTCGACTGCTGAACAGAATCCACTACACTGGAGGAGGTCGCCGCTTCCGACCATCACGGAAAAAGAGGGTATTTCCCCTTGGGGAAGGTGGAGATGATTTGCAATTCATGGTTGTATGATGTTATGAGTATACTTCCTGAATCAACAAGAACTTTTACCGGTTGATTATTGATGTAACCTGTGACCCGTAACGCTTGTGGTGACGCTAAGCCGTACAGAGCCGCTGTGGATAGCGACAGAAATTCACCGGTGGTGGTGGCTATTGTATCTGAGGCATCTTCGACTTCAAAAACGGACGTTTCTGTGGCCGGGTCTTCCTCGTTATCTACGATCATCATGAACTGAGGGGGACTACATTTATGACCAGGCTTATTTAGCGGGGCACCGGAAGCATAGCCCTTCGGCTCGTCTTTTGTTGAAGCATCTGGTGACAGGCGGGTGAAGGGAGGGTAGCTGGGGTGATTGGGTGGGAAGGAGGGGGTTTGTCGGTTTGGGTGATGGTGATAGATTTGTGGTGGGGGTACTAGCCACAGAGGGTGAGAATGATCTGGGGGTTGTATAACGAGGTTTATTGTTGGCTAGTTTTTCTTCAATGAGTGTGGCTAGGCCTTAGGTTTGATGGAGGGTAGTCGGGTTCTGGATAGCAATTTCATTTGGATGTCGGGGCGAAGTCCCGATATGAAGCAGTTACGAATGGCCACTGGTGTTAGTCCATCTACCATGTCTCACTCTTTCAAATTCGGCTTGAAAGGCTGCCATGTGGAGGTTTGTCGTAATTTGAATAGAGTTGTCTGGTGGTTTTCGTAGGATGATGGGCCAAATCTGAGTTCCATGGCTCGACAAAATTCTGGCCAGGTGGTTAGTAGCTGATTGGGTTAAGTGCTTGTACCAACTAAGAGCTTCCCCTGTAAATAGAACACAGCCAAGGGTAATCTTTGATTATTAGGCAGGTTATAATAATAAAAATAGTTATTAGCTTGGAATATCCAATCTAATGGGTTAGACCCATCGAAGTTTGGCAGAGTGATTTTGGGTGGTCGAGGTTATGATGTGGGGGCGGTGGTGGTGGTGGTGGTGGTGGTGGTGGTGGTTGTTGGTGGGTCTGTTGGTTGGTGATTAGATTGACCAGGTTGGTCATATTAGTGGTGAGGGTGTCCAGCCGGATGTTAGTGGCGGTTGTGAGATGGAGTAAGGCTTGAAGTTGGTCATGGGTGGAGAGAGGTTCATCAGGTGATGTTCTGGTTTGGGAGGCATTGTAAGAAGATGAAAGCACCAATTGTTGTATGCTATCCTCAAATGCAAATTACAAAATACTTAAATAATCAAGGAAGCAACTGAAAATAAGGAAAATCTAAGTGGTCGTGGACCTATGCAGCTAAACTTAAGCAGAAAGTACTGGAAACACTACTTCTATTCGAGACTAATTCTCATAACTGACTTCTTCCTCTTATCCTTGTTAGTCCAAGAATCTTACATGCTTATGGATCACACGTTTGGGCCTGGTTGGCTGTCTTGCTGGACTCGTATCAATCTAACTACTATTATCATCTTCATTTTACAACATCGTCATTCTCGCAATATCTTCATCTACATTCTCACATAAGCTATTCTTCACTCCAATACTATTCATCCTCCTTCCTCTTCTCCATAAGATGAAGTTTATGAACCTAACCATTGGTGAAAATGTCATTTGACTGCGTAATTTATTTCCTTCCTATTAAACTCGAGAACACATCCATCCTCTCTCTCTTTTTTTCTCCTCCATATCTTTCTCCCTTCCTCCTCCTTAATTTTTACATTTAAAAACAAAGGTGTAAGGTGTCGGTGACGCATAAGAATATAATTTGTTTCTTCTTTCTACTATCCTTAAAAAACAATAATATAAACGGTCTTGGGCTGAATTAAACAACTATGATATAAACGATCTTGGGCTAAATTAAACAATAATATAAACACTCTTGGGCTGAATTAAACAACCATTTTGGGCTGAATGGGCCAGATCAAGGTCTGAACTCTGAACCAATAACCTGCATCACGATACTAGATCCGTAAATTGGTTTAATGGATTAGAAACTAGCAAGTAGCAAAGTGCTGCGTCGATTAGATCAAGCGAATTGTAAGCTAAAGTCTCCGTGGGTTTCTCCAATCGGTAAAGACTCTTTGATTTTTCATCCTATTCTAATTGAAAGAAAACCCTAAATTTATCGTTGTAGTTGTTTGCTATTTTAAGCTAAGTGATCTAAGATTTAGGGTATTATATCACCGATTGCTCCCGGAAGTCATTTAAACGGATAATTTCTGGTGATTTCATCGGATGATCTTTTCCTTACTTTCCAATTCTTTTATGGGGTGTTATCAAAAATCTTCAAATCCTGTTTCTGTTTAGTAAAATTCCGGATGCTGCAGAAATTTTCTGATACTTTGTTTCTTACTTGGTTGCAGTTTGAAGTCATTGAAATGGAGAACAGAAGGTACAACGGCAGACAAGACATACGTAGAAGACAACATAAAGCAGATGAGGTCATATGCTTGTGCAAGTTTTTTTTTGTTATTTGACTGAAGTTTAATCATGGTTAAGTTGATTTATGCTATATATTTGTATACAAGTGATGCTGTAGAATCATTAGTGTGTTAATTTGGTTCATGTTTTGTAAACTGTACAGGAAGATGAGGCATCTGTTCTTGAGGAATTTGCAGAGGAATTTCGCCTACCAATTCATCACAGACCAACAGAAAACGTAGATCTTGATAATGTTGAACAAGCTTCATTAGACACACAACAAACATCATCTAATGTTGGTTTCCGGCTTCTTCAAAGAGTGGGTGGAAAGGGAAAGGTCTTGGAAGGATGAACAAGGTATGCAGATAACATTACTGCTGAACTTCTTGCACATTGTCTTCTGTTCTAGTTATTGTTTCTAGATTAACACGAGTGAATGTACTTGTTCAAATCCAATCATTTTCATATGCTTAAACAATTTATTGAATAATTGAATTCATCATACAGACAAAAGTTAATTGACATTTCATTTAAATGTAAGAAAATATAATCAGACAGTGCATTTGTTCCATCTTTACTTCATTTGTGTGCCTAGTGTGTTGATTTTAAATCTATTTTTTAATGCCTCAGTCTCACCAACTTAAATTTACCTTTTCTGCATCCTAACAAACAAACAAGCCCTAATTCTTTCCATCATGATTCCGTAGGAATCACCGAACCCATCAAATCCGGAATCCGAGATTCAAAACTCGAGTTGGAAAACAAGAACAAGACGATTTCTTCACATCAGAAGAAAACATCCAACGAAGAAACTCGACATTGAAGTCGAAGAAACCGAGGAAACCGCAAAGAAACGAGAGGTATCCCTTTTCACTCTTAAAAAAGAAAAACATATATAAATACATTAAGAAAAAAATCTTATCTTATATATAACATATAATATATAGCAGAAGACAGCATATGTTTTTTTTATTAGTATCTCTATCTGGTGGCTTCTTCTGCCCCCTTTCCTGCACATTATGAAAATCCAGGTTATGGCAGATCGAGAGCACAAAATTCAAACTGAAGTCAATGAAATCCGCAAGACTTTCTATTGTGAGCTTTGCAATAAGCAGTACAAGTTAGCAGTTGAATTTGAAGGTCATCTTAGCTCATATGATCACAATCATCGAAAGGTATGTATATAAGTAAACTACAATTGGGAATTTTTTTTTTTTTTGAGGTGGAGGGTATTTACGTCTTTTGCGGTTTACAGCGGTTTAAAGAAATGAGAGAAATGCACGGAAGCAGCAGCCGTGATGACAGGCAAAAACGTGAACAGTTGCGTCAGGAAAAGGAGATGGCTAAGTTTGCTCAAATGTAAGCTTTTTATGATAAGGACAAGAAGGGTATTTATGTCTTTTGCACAGAGACTAAACCAGTTTCTTCTTCCTACTTTTTTGTGGGTAGGACAAAAAATTGGACTGTTATCCCATTGATAACTCTCTCTCAGTCTCCGTCCAATGCATGTCAAACACAATCAGATCATTTCAGATGATTAAATATATTTACTTTTTTTTGATTTAGGGCTGATGCGCATAAGCAACAACAACAACAGCAAGAGGAGTCTGGGAAAAGTAATTTAGCAGTGAAGAATGCTGCTACTGTTCTTGCTGATCAGGATCAGAGGAAGGTGTTGAAGTTTGGATTTTCATCAAAACTTGGTGCATCAAAGGTATTAACAATTTTTTTTACTAGTTTGTTTTTTTATTTATAAAAACATACTTATTGGCTATATTGTGAAAAGGAGTAAAGTATGTTGGTATTTCATGCAGAGTTCAGGCATGAGTGCAGCAAAGAAGCCGAAAACACCTATTGCATCAGTTTTTTTGAAATGATAGCGATGAAGAGTAGTAATATTCATATTGTATACTGTTTACTTGACTTCATGTGGTTGTATTGTATACTAAAAATATATTTTCTCTTGTATACTACTTGGCTTGGTGTGGTGGTAAACACTTAACTTTAACAACTATACATTAATGGTTGTTTCTTTTTGACTTAATATGGACAGCATGACCTAATAATGGCTTAATGTATCAAGACACTGATGAATGTTGTGAAATTTGTTTTTAAAATGCAAAAGCAAAATGGTCATAGGTAGTCTCATTATGATTCAGACGGTGGTTTATTCTGGTAAAGAAACAACTAACTCTCATTCACTCTTGGTTATATGTCTATGCATTGACAAGCAGCTTATACATAACTTAACTTTTGATTGGTCGATAAATTAATGTTATGAAATATTGAACTCGACTTGAGTTTGTTACTTAATTAGGTTGCTAACTGAGGTTCAAGTTCCTATAAGACATAAGGCATAAGGTATTGTTTTGGTCGATCAATCTAAGCCGTGTTCTGACAAACAATTAAGATGAATAATTTTGTAATCACTCATCAACATCAATGTTTGTCTTGCATAATTATTTTATAAACATCAGTTTAAAAAAAGAAACCAAAAAAAACAAGGTTTTACAAAAATAACCATGTAATCCGTTAGAGGGCTTTTCTCTGTACTTAGTGTTAAATCAAATATTAGGGTATTTTGGTAAAATTCAATGAATCTGCATTACTATCGTATCAACAAGTCTGCGGTATCCTCTCTGCGGACTTTATTACCTTCTGCAAATTCGTTTGTATAGTCATAAAATTTTTTAAAAAAAATATTTTATACAGAAAAATGTCTCGAAATAAAACGAAATTTTAAATGATTCTTTTATTCATTACATTAGTAATTTCTATGGAGAAAAACATGTATTTTTTTTATCCTTAATTTGTTATGATTCACAAAAATGTTATATGATCCAAAATATTTAGATTAAAAGTATATGATTCAAAATGTTATTATCTAAAATATTGTGAACCAAAATCTATAGTAAAAGATTTTATATGGTTCTGAAATGGTTTGATGTAATGTTTATGATTCTTAAGTTTTTATCCAAAATTCAAAACTTTGTTATGAAAAAAAGTCTATAAAAATTAAAAGAATATTTTTTGGTTTTTATAAAAATAAAAAATAATGAAAACTATTTTTTTTTAAATTAAAGTTTGATATAAAAAAGAATTATTTTTGAAAAAACTCATAATATAAGATATATAAAAACCTTCAATTTTTATTATTATTTGGAGGACAAAAATTTTAATGTCTTGTATTTATAGAAAACTTGGATTTCATTAAACAAATGTAAGTACCCTTAACAACAATATTTTTGAACCACCAAGTCTTCTCTTCACATTAAAACTACTTATTAGCGATGACAAACTGCAATAAATGGATAAACACCTTAAATAAGCAATCCTAAACACAACACCATCAGGGGCGTAGCCAATATAGGGCAAGAGTGGGCTTTAGCCCACTCACAACAAATTAAGGTTATATATATATAATAGCCCCACATAAGTTTAGGTACTCTAAATTATACAGTTTTATCTTAGTAAATATAACCGAGTCAGATTTCATTTGGTAAAATATACAATTTCCCATTGCATTTGTTTCCTCTATTATTGTTTAACTATCTATGTTTTCTTTCCTCCATTATCGTTTATTATTTCTCGTCAGTGAACATTATTATTTTCCACCATCACGAAGGTGGAAGATAATTAAACCTTTTGCTTCCATATCAAAATTATTGTTTCAATATTGAATCTGCAACATCAAGCTTTAATCATGAATCCCTTAATTGCAATCTTTAACTAGTAAAACGACGTAGAAGAGAATATATTGTTGTCTATGTCGACGAGACTCAATTTTAGATTATTTTAATGATATAAGACAACATCTTGTGCAACTTAAAATAAATAATTTAGTTAAAGACTGTATATATAATTTTTTCCATATCAAAATTATTGTTTCAATATTGAATCTGCAGCGTCAAACGTTAATCGTGAATCCCTTAATTGCAATTTTATATAATTTAGTAGAAGATAATATATTGTTGTCTATGTCGACGAGACTCAAATTTAAATTATTTTAATGATATAAGACAAAATCGTGTGCAATTTAAAATAAATAATTTAGTTAAGAATGTATATATATAATTACATTTTGTTATTGTTTGAAGAATTTTGCCACTCATTCATATTTTATATATTATTTGGCATACCATAAAACAAAATCCTAGCTCCACCACTGGCCCTCAATGTATTAAACCACCAACTCTTCTCTTCACACTAAAACTGATTTATACTGTTAATTATCGACAAAAATTATTAAAATTGTTTGCTGAAATGCTGAGAGCATTTAATCTCAGTCAAGCCTGTTTTTGGATCTAAAAAAATCAACTTTATGTGTACAACTCTTTGGCCAAACACATGTCATTAGTCATTACCCATTAACCACTTTAACCATATACACAATAACACGAGTTAATGAGAAAAAATAAAACCCATACTCCAAATCTTCGTTTGTACAAAAAGCAAATGTATGTGTTATCCACGAAAATCCCCCACAGCCTTGAAGAATAAACCAACCATATGAAAGCAAAGAAAACATCAAGTTGAAAATTGCAAGATTGCATTAATTTAATTTAAGGTACGTAAAAAGGTAAAACATTGAAAAGCTCTAAACACGATAGATGACATAAATGTTCCCGAGTTCTAATCTATAACAATAATATAAGAAGAAAGATAAGATACAATTGATTGGTTCAAAGCTCAAACCCGGTTGTAAGCAACCGACTTGCTAAACAGGCGACGTATGTAAACCACTTGGAGTCCACTTGCAAGTGCCAACAAAATGTATTCTCCAATTGTGTAAAAAGATCACCCTTTTATGCGTGCTCTCATTTGCTACACAACAACCAGTTATATATCACATGACATGACATGACAGAACAAATTATACTGTGTTTGGCATATAATTAGGAATAATAAATATGATTGAATTGAATGAGAGAGCTTTACTATGGCGATGTCGAGCATCACGTGCTTTCAAGTATTTTTGTTCAGCTGTAACAGATTCTAATGCCTCCCTCAATTCAGCAATTTTCACATTCACAGGGTCCAAATGCTCTACAAAACATACAAAAACAATATAAAAACTTGAGCTTTAAAAGATAATGGTTGCAAGAAATAAGAGGGATTTCAACAAACCATCTTTTGCTAGGTCATGCTCATTGGGAATATGACCAACATGTATGTAGAAAGAGACAGTTTCTGGAGTTGAGTAAGGGTTATGGAAACAGAATTGATACATTCCACTTCTTGGAGCTTTAAACTCAAATTTTTCTCCAGATGTTCCTTTCATTGTTTGTACTACATTTCCTCCAGGAGATGACACCTGAAACAAACCCAAATGAATTAATTTCAGCTCTTCTTCTTCCCTACAATTTTAGCTTATATTGCTGTTGAAACACCCTTGATGATGACCTAAAGAGTTTTCATACAGCCAATCGACAAGGGAGATAGTTATGGAAGGGATGTTAAAGATCAACATAATCCTTGTTTATAATCCAAAAAGTCTGTGCTAGCCAATTGTTTTTAGGGTAACTTCAAAAATCAAAAGACCTAACATGCATTGAAATTGAGAACAAATTATATAAGATCCATACAACAAAAAGAAAAGAAAAGAAAGAAACTTGTCAACTGGATTGCGTAATCACAAATCACATAAACAAAGGAGCTAAAATGAATAAGTGTTCGACGAAATTCGATTGAATTCAGAAGTTCTAGCCGAAATAACCCATGGAATTTCATTCCAATTAAAATTCACGTCCCATGAGCAGATCAATGAAACATCAAACGTCAATAAAACAAAACCCCTAAAATTTAACTCCAATCTATAATTTTCGAATAGAACAGCAAAATCCTTTATCCAAATTTCTGATTTAGGTCAACTAGGTTCCAATTTTGAGAAATCCAATAGAAGGGGAAAAAAAACATGGTGATCTGAAGTATACAGATCCAGTTACTCACGATAAAGTCGATGCCGGGGTGATCGGAGCTCCAGAATATATCATGATCGACAACAACAAAGTTGCCTGAAACCGTATCGCCTTCGTAAAGTACATACTCGTATACAATTCGACGTCGTTGACGGTGACTGAAAGAGCCGATACATCTCCGGCAAAAGCAGAAAGAGAAGAAGCCCCAAAATCGCATACACTTCATTGTTCTCTCTCCTCTCTCCATCTACTGATTTCCTTCCGATTGACAAAACGATTTGCACCCAGACGCTTTTTCAGGGCTTCTTCCGGGTTGGAACAACCCATCCAATTTACTAATTTACCCCTCTCTATAAGCAACGGGTTGGATTAAACTTGCTATTGGTCATCTCGACGTAATCAATTTCACTTGTGTGTTTGTTGGTTGATTTATTCGAAAATTGTTATAAAAGTTATTTTTATTTCAATTTAGAGTAAATAATATTTATGTTTCAATTTAGAGTAAGAGAGCTTTATTACAACATTGGATGTAAGAAACAACATTGGATGTAAGAACTACGCAAATGGCTTACTCTACTTTCTAACTAACATCTCTATTTATAGTTTGACAAACATAGAATCGACTAGAACATAACCAATAAGGTTATGACACCTGGGCTATGATAATCAGTTAAGCACATGTCATTACAAAATCTAAGGTGTACAAAACTCTGAAACATACAAATATTTAGAATATTACATTGAAGACTAAAATATTACAATATGAACTTTCGCAATCAGACTCCGACACAACATACATAACACCAATATTCACAAACATGAGGACTAGGCTAAAAATTATCTATGTAGGCTAGGGTTTGAGATAGAGAGAACATTTCTGGAGGTGGATACTTACTTAAGAGGAAACCCTAGATATGAGAGCCGTTAAATAGGTTCAATGCCTAAAAATTAGGGTTTCTCCAATATGTCATGTGCATCGCAACCTCTATGTGTCCCTTCATGATCCTCCTTACAACACATGCTTCACGCTTTACCACTTCATTACCCAAAGAAGAAACCATAGCGTTCTTTGTTGCTTCCTTGTGCTTGTGAGACTAAAAGGGTGCTTTTTGTGCATTTTGTTGAAGGAGTTTG